ACGCACGCACGTACGTACGACGGATATTGCGGAGAACCCGTCAGCACGCTCGTAGCTGTCACAAAGGATCGCGCGCGAGTTACGACTAAGACGCGGAGGTCTCCTTTGGCGAACGGCCAGCAGTTCAAACAAGAACTGACTAATGACAGTACACCTCGTGAAAAGCGGCTACAAGTTGGCGGAGAGTTTTCCTTCCTTCTCTTCTTTGGGTTTTCAAAGGGTCCAGTCGATCGGGGCGAGGGGAGAGTGACACGCGAAGCGTGTCTACCATCCACTGCCTGAGCGGAGGGCGCTAGGATGACCATTCATTGCAGGCTAATTCCGGTGCACATGTCGATAAGCTGGGGTTTCCCACATTCGTGCGGATGTGCTCAGCGAGGGGATTAGGGGCCATATTTCCAACGTGTGGGTCAGATATGGCTACCGTTGGAACATCTAGGGTCGTTCGTCCGTCCGAAGAAAACTAGGCAGCGTAGAATGCGCGAACAGCTAATTAATTGAAAGGATTGAACATTCCACGTGTAACATATAGAAGTATGTGTTAAATTCTAAATAAATAATTTGCAACAAATTTAGAATAATTGAATCATCGTTCAACTTGATTTTAAATATAACTGATTGAACATTTATTCCGATCAAAAATATCGTTAATTCGCATATGATTATAAGATCACGAATCAATGCTATTGTAATTACTTTAATAACGCACACTTTAATATAGTATATTGCCACTTTAATCTCGTGTTGATAAATGCAGAATCGTCATTAAAGTAGAAAATAAAGTACAAAACACAATGAATGAAGAAGGAATTGCATATAGTAGCATATGAAGCGTATCTTCGTAAATGAAAATAAGAGCTGAGTCACTGTAGTTATCAACAAGTTGATTTATTAACTTAATGTTCAGAAATTGAAACGTCTTTTGTAAGCGACAACATGTTTGCTATGTATAACATTTGTTTTCTTCCTTTGTTTGCACGTTTTGTAATCGAGTAGCTCTAATTTCCAAACTTCCGTATGGCAGCATGATTACTCCAATTGTTGTTAATGCTCAAATGACATATTACTATTTACGAGCTTATAAGCTTTTGTATATTTTATATGGTTACAGGTTTGCATCTTTAATCGTTTTTACATAGTGGTTTTCTAGTTCACGCAACGTTTTACCTTCAGTTTCAGGAAGTAGGAAATAAAATACTATGCAACAAACGAAGCAAGAGATTCCAAAAATGAGAAAAGCTCCCGGTAAAGTTACAGCTGCAACCACATATAAATATGATTTGTTCACAACGGCACTGCAAACTGAGAAGACAAATATGCCGATGCCTGTGCCAACGTTTCGAAATTTTGTTGGAAAGAGTTCAGCATTGTACATAAACACAACTTTATCGATGCCAGCAGACGTCAAAAACGTTGAAAGTATTAGCATGATAGTCGAAGTCCAATTAAAAACGTGAATGTATTTCACGTAAGCGCTTTGTGCTTTTAGAAATAATAGCGTAGCTATTGTAATATATGATAAGCCAGCTCCGATAGAAGAGATGAAAATTAATTTCCTCTTCCCGGTGTAGTGCACCGATAGAATACAAACTATGGCTCCGAGGATGCGCATAGCGTCAAAAAGTGATGCCGCTAAGTGACTGTCGATTGGTGCATCAATACTTTTAAATATGATCATCAAGTACGCTACAATTGCCATGACTCCGGTGCAAGCGTGTAAAATGAACATACAAGCGACTGAAGCTAGAGGAAGGAAAAATAATTTACGGAAAAAAGGCTTGCAAGAATTTCTTGTTGAGCTTCGATCTGGAATTTCATAGGTTTTCCTTAACAAATCGAATTCTAGAAAAATATTTTCTGGTGTAGTCCAACCTCGTACCCACGACAGAGCACTTTCTGCTTGCTTCAATTTCCCTTTGCCTGAGAAAGGTCAAGTTATTCAAAGCCGTATATTTTTAATCTTTTACAAATAATGATTCTAAAAATTATTTTTTCGTGACGGACGGTGGAATATATTTTATATCTTACTTGCAAGCCAGTGCGGACTTTCAGGGATCATGTACATGGACAAGAATCCGAGTGTCGGAGAAATAAGGTTAATTAAAACAATCGTTCTCCAGTGAAGCCAGTTGCTGTAAAGAATCGTTAAAAATACGCCAATGATTATAGATAGGTTTGTAGAAGCCATGAGGGCACTTCTCAAATATGGTTCAGCTGTTTCAACAATGTAGGTAGTTCCAGGTCCTATTATTGCTGGTGCAACTAATCCAGCAATAGCTTGCGCACCTAGAAGCATAACCGAATTTTTCGCAAAATAAAATAAGATCCAAGAAACGATGAACAGAAGCGACGTCACAATTAAACATCGACGAGGTCCTATAGTTTGAGCCAATAGGCCTGATAATATAGAGCCTACTGGCACCATAAAGCATGAGCTACCTACAAAGTATCGAATTAATTTTCTTTTATTATTGTTACATAAGACATTAGACAACTCAGTTATATACACTGACCAAACCATGTTAATTCACTTAGTGAAATTTCAATCTCTGCATTTTTCTTGTATAGTTCTGCTAAAAGTATCGTTGTAATACCATGAAACGATCCATAAGTAAACTTTACGAGATTTGTTGCAAAAGCGGCTAAACATTGTGATGCAGCTGATCTGAATGTATAATCAGAGCTTGGAGAACGATTTTCACTTACGTAATCTCTGCAGTAGAAGAGTTTATCGATTTTCAAAAATCAAATTAAAGTAGATTGAGTAGTCGTACAAGTAGTGTAAAATTATCGTGAAAACTAATCTGTTTTTAAATTTCGGAATATAATAAAGGGAAGCGTTAACGGAAGTAGTCCAAGATGAAACGATGAAAAAAATCTGTGTTTTTACTAAATGATTTTGAGTTAATTCAATTCCTTCGTACGCTTACTCAAAGTCTTATCAAACTATTGTTAAAATTTAATACTAATATTCGTACAGTTTTATTTAAAAATGTTTAGTCTTTTTACGTAGCTATCCCCTTAACTCATTATAACATGATAATGCCAAAGAAAAAGAAGAAATAGAGGAAGAAATTATCTCTCAATATACTGAAAGTTGTATTTTGATTATCATTAGAAACTAACTCTGAAAATTTTTGTTTAAAACAAAAGTGAAAAAACCAAATATCATATAATAACTGTATTTATTGAACTTACTTGATTGCTTCTTGTGGTTTCTTCATGTCGAGTTAAAAATTATATAATACGAAATTACTCATCTTTATTCATTTTCTTTTATTCAATTTCAACGATTTCTATTTAACTATGATCACATTTTTTACGTGAAATATATTTTTTCACTGACATTTTTTATTAGAAAAATATGTCATACAAATTTTAAATAATTAAGGCGCACTTCGATGCCCATCATACATACGTTCATGCATGCATTGTAAACGTGAAATCTTCTGTTGTTCATGAGCGACTTCAGATTATTGATTAGCTCGACCCAGACAGAATAAAAATCTCTTCCGTGTTTCTCATGATCGATATCTTATTTATTATTTAATGTTGATTAGTTCAAGACCGAAAAGCACACGCTAATGAAAATCTTTCGTGTTTGTTATGATTGTTACCTTATTTATAAAAAAATGTCGAGGAGTTGATTAATAATCTGATCTTGCTCAACCAATCCATTGTTATCAACAGAACATAGAGTGAGAACAATAAAAGATTGGTTGTTTAATAAAACAATACAATAACTAAAATAAAATTATGCTTAAAACATTATATTTGTTGATAAATATTTCCAAGGATATTTTAAATATGCTAAGTAGGAAAATATTGCGTGTCCTATTATGATTATTGATTATATTATAAATACATTGTTATTTGCTTTCTATATGCGTACTAAAATACGCATTAAAATTATTGAGATAGCAATAAATACTTGCAAATCAATTTGATGACAAACTGAGAAGAAATTACAAAATTAATTGATTTATTCTTAATGTACGATACTGAATTGATGTGATATCTTTTTATTTACGATAAAAATATTACACAGAAATTTCTAAGAATAATGGATAAGTTTTTTTCGAAATTGCAAATTGTTACAAATTATGTGTCGACATCATTACAATCGTACTTAGCCCGACGATCTACGAGTCAACTTAATTTTAAGTAAAATAATAAATTAATTATTAGTTTATTCTTATAATAATACTTTTTGAATATCTATCTATTATACTTTCAAGATAAATTCACTTTCCTATCCTGAAGTACCAGTTAATTAATAATTTTAATAATAGAAACTATAGGCGTTTCCGACACTGATTATATTATCTTATAGTAAAAATTACAGAATTCATTATATATATGTATATAAAACAAAGGATGATATACCAAAGAATTTTATTCAATATCTGAAGAATCTGAAAAATTTTGTGACAAGTTTATTTAATTTTTTAAGCAAAACAGTGAAAAGGCAACGATCTTAAAAAAAAAGAGGACATGTAGAGCTTATTACCTAAATGGACGATCGGAAAAAATAGCATTAATGTTAATCAAGCTCATAGGCCTTTTTTGAAAGAAAAACTTGGTGAAATTTTGGAAATAAAGTGGACGAACTTTTATCATATTAAAAATTATTGTTATGAGTTAGTTCTTGAAATTATTTCATATGATGTTGTTTTATTAGATGATATATTCTATTTGTACTTTTTTATTAAAAAGTAATTTTATTAACCTATGATGATTTTATAATAATACTAGAACAAAAAATGGCGACTGCATTAGAAAAGGTAGTTATTAAAATTTTTTAATATATAATAACTATGTACTTGCTGATATCAATTTACTTACCGAATATTATATTTGTTTTACAATACGGTAATTGACTATAAAATCTAATATTTTTTGTATAAAAGTATTCAGAAAACAGAATGAAATAAAAAAAGATGTAATATTAAATTTTAACTTTCAACCAATTTGTTTTAACGCTTTATAACTAGTTATTTAAACTTACATGATCGTTTTTGTTATGTTAGTTATTTAAATTTACATGATTATGAATTTTTATTTCATATTTAACTTCGTTTTTATATGCACATCATTATAAGTCTTTTTTACGTAACATATAGCAATTTTTTCTAAAAAGATTTTAAAAGTTAAAAACTATCATATTTCGATATTTGCGAAAATGTTATGATCAAATATAAAAAGAATTAATATGTACATTCTAAGTTAGAAACGCAGCATATAATCGAATCATATTATAGATATACATCTCATGCAATTTTTTTATCAAATCTTGACATATATTTGCTTTGTTTTGATAAAACAATCTTGGAAATAATGGTTTTATGTATATCCTATATAGTCTATAACGTAAATATTGTTTACTTTGTTATCATATATGAAGCAGTAGACTAATATAAGATAATTGTTTATTTTCCTTAAAAGTATTGAGCTTAAAAATTGTAAAAATAATTCAAATTAAACAAGTTTATTGGAGAAATATCTAATGCAATCTGAGGGATTTAAAAAAAAAATTTTATTTACGAAATATTCTCAATACGTAAAGTAAATATGCATATAAAGTATTTACAAATATATAATCATCATAAAGAAAAATGAAATGATTTTCTAACTTCGAATCTAAATTTGAAATGGATAAAAACTTATTAGTACGTTGAAACATTTAATTCAAACATAGTTATTATGCAATCTTAAAATAGTTTTCGTACATATATATATATATAGAAAAGTTTATAATTAGACCGTTGAACTCATAAAAAAGAAAAAATGAATTTAAAAACTCTGAATTGCCAGTAATAAAAAAAAAATATCCTCAAAATATTATTCACTTACTTCTGCGATATCTAATAAAACTTAACAACAACAAATTGTCAATATCTGTTCAGCAAACATATCCGCGCACAAATGAACACAATTTTACAATCTTACACTACATAAAAATTTGTCTGCTATTAGATCATTACCGAATACTGATATGTTCACTGATCGGTGCAAGTACCGTGCTGACATTTATCGAAAAAAGTAAGGAAATGAGCAAGAAGAATCCGTAAACGCAGAAAGCCATTATTGTGTATTTGATCACCTTATGTAAAATGATAATCCTGGAAGAAAAAATAATTGTTTTAGCTTTATTGTAATACTTAAGTAAGATAATCGCTTCAATAAATTTGTCTCTTTTACTTTGCCATTCGTTTTCGAGCCATCTGGATATTGTTTGGATCGTCCTTGAAAATATAGAGTCTCAATCCATCGACACATTTCTGCATGTAGTCATCCCAATCGATGTTCTTCATCGAGAAGTAATATATCTGTTTGTCATCGGAACTTAGTTTGTCCCACAAACGAACCATATTATCATTAGTGAATTCCCATTTCCTCATAATGAAGTAAGTGGTGACTGCCGAGAATTTGTGAATTTTCTTGTAAATTTTTAACATTCTAAAAACAAGAAACATTTAAGAATGATAAAATGCCTATATCAAATATCATTCGATGTGATGATCGATTTTTTTACTTAGGTTCCTTTCCGGTAAGGAATAAACCAACATCAACGAGGAATGCAGGAACGATATGAAGTAAAAACGACAAGATATAGTACAAATAGACGTTCTTTGTGGCTGTCAAACTATAACACCAAATGCTGCGTATACTCGGCTTCTTCGTTCCGTACTTGTATGCAAGATCAACGTATTTTCTCCAAGTCAAGCCTTTTGACCAACTCGAGTGGTAGTTGTAAATTGGAGGATCAGAATCCTCATTTCTGTACGGACAAAGACAGCGAGATGAGAAGGATTTACAAAATTTATCGTCAAAATTATTATCGGGATCTTACTTGCTATTTGCCACATCCCAAGCTGTAGCGATGAGTGCGTTCACAGTCAAATCAGCTGGTATCAATTCAGCAACGCATTCACCATCCATGTTCATCGTTCGGATTAATCCAGCTCCTCCACCCACTAGTGCACCCGTTGGCCCGTAAATGTTGTCGATCCAACCGGCGACTGGCTCGTGATACGTTGAAATTACTTATGAAATAACAAGAGGTATTGGTTTATTTAATTGTTATTATCATTGGCAATAATTAAACATGGAAACTATAATTCTTTTATATTATATATATTACAATATAAGATTCTTTTAGAAAACAAACTCTACGACTATTACGTCTTGTAATAAAATAGAAAAGAAATTTTATTATTATTATTTATTCGGCTCAGTCAAAAAGACTGACGTGTCAAAATATATTCTAAAACCATTTCAAAGATCTCTTCTTAAAATTTAGTAAAAGTAGTGAGATAACATTTATCACGGGGATAGTTACTTTCTATTTGGTGAAAAGTTTTCGAAGTGTAACTAATTCGAGCTCGTTTATGAAAGAAATCGTGTAAAAACAAGCTCGCTTTCATATTTTTCTCAAAAGCAAATATGAAGCAATTTGCAGTATGACTGTTGCAATAACAACCAGAACAGACGGGTGTCAATGTGCCTAGTAAAAGTATATCGAAGAGCGGCGCGTGTGTGAAATTGAAAGATGTAAAGATACTCACCAACGGCAGGTCTGAAAATTCCGGTTGGTAGATCTCTGCCGTACTGCTGCACTACCTGTTCCGCGATGCATTTTGTGTAGGCATAAGTGTTTGGGAAATCGCCCAGTATAATTGGCGTAATGGAATCGAGTTTTTTATCGTCCAAACTCTGAACCAGTTTGATGGCATTGTCCCCTATATCAAGATTGTGCCGTATAAAAATTAGTTCATGTTATGTCACACATTTGCTAAAAACTAAACCAAATGTATAGTGACATAGCCGTTTACCTGAAAGCGGCGGATCGTAAAACTTCTCGTCTATATGCATCCTATTGCAATTGCTGTATGCCGTCGACACGTGAATTATTACCTATGAGATCAAAAACGTTCGTAATTAGATATGTATGTCCTAAAAAAATAATAACTAATCCTGCGCTGACTACTTTTTCTCTAATAAGTGAAATTTTGTTTTCCAAGATTAAAGATTAATTGCACGTTTGTCCTCAGACGCAGTTAGTTTTACTATTCGTGACTTGTAGCTTTTATCTGAAATCGGAAACGGTTTGAAGAAGGAAAGGAAAGAAGACATGATTATAACGTCTATAATAGCTTTGTGATACTGACACAAAAAACGTCGTGAAATTAAGAAAATCTTTTGAAAGTGGCATAAGATAAAATCACTACCTTTAAGCCTTGAATCTGCCTAGACAAATCAAGCATCTCTTTGGTGCCACTAACGTTGATAGCGACGGCCTGTTTGATTTTCTCGTCGAACTTTACAGTCGCAGCAACGTGGAAAACGATATTGACATCGCGGATGATAAGTTGCTTGTCGGACTGCGATATTCCAAGACCAGGTAGCGAACAATCACCAGCTATGACAGTCACTTTGTGGCGGAACTTGGGCATATCCTTTTTCAGGCGGTCGAAAATCTAAATAGTAAGCATTTAGACAAAAGGAGTAAATTTTAAGGTGATTGTAGGTATATTTAAAATACATATATGAACGGAATTTTACCGTGTCGTCGAACAGAGTATCCAACCTATGGTATGCATCTTGGCCTTTTTTTGGACGAATCACGACAAAAATTGACGATAGATCCGGACAACTTCTCAACAACTTTTCAATTAGCAACTTTCCCAAAAAGCCCGTTCCTCCTGAAATTAACGATTTTCTTTTATTTTAATTGAATGGCTTTTCCATTTCATTCAAACGCAAATGGCTGACTACGTTATAAATATAACATTAACACTTCCTATCTGCGATGATACACATGCGGAATTGATAGAATTCCATACCCAAGCCGACGATTATTTTTTATCAGTGAAACGTAACGAGCTCTTCTGCGTATATAAACTATCATTTAAAAGAATTACTTCAGTTACGTTGTACAATTGAGATCGAGGCTTACCATGAAATATTTTATTTTGTAAGTATTCAATGATTGATTAGAGTATGATTACATTATGAGATTCAATTACACTGACGCCTAAAAAGTTTTACATTTTTCAATAATAATAGTAATAACTGTTAGAATTTTAGCCGTTCTAATAACTGGCTGGTCAGCGGTTCATGCAGCTGTATACAATCAGTTTTTCCCTGATAAAGATGAGATAATGAGGTTTAAAAAATTGAGCAAAAAGTTTGAATATGAAAGATCAGCCAGTACAAATGATTTAGAAGATTATATTAATCAGGAATTGAAAAAAAGATCGGAAATGGAATTTATGGTTAATTTTCTACTGGATGAAGCAAAAGAATCTGCAAAACCAGCTTTAAGAGAAATATTTGCTGAAGCTATTGAAGAACGTTGGCCGACCTTAGAAGATTTCAAGAAATATTGTTTGAAGATGTATCGAAGATTTGAAAATCCAACAACTACTAAAAGAAAAATATCGTTATTTAAACGAGAGTTAAGTGAAGATTACGACTTCAAAAGTAGTGTAAAAAAGGACATGAAAAAGTATGTTCAAATACTCATTATGAAAACGAAATCATCTAAAAAGTATTTACTGAAAAAACAGTTGGATAAAGCTCAAACAATAAAATGGACAAATATTGAAAAATTTAAAGTATATTGTAATCAGATATTTGAACAATATCTATAATAATAATATTAATATGATTTAGTCAATTTTGTTGCACGAAACGCTTGTTAAATTATAAGATGAGTGGTATGTCTTTTTAATAATGTAGTTTAAATAAAAAAAATCACAAAACTTATTTAAATACATTTATTTGTTTTTAAAACCTTACCTGTCACTAAAACATTTTGGCCAGCGTAAAACTTTTGTAGAGGCGTTTTGGAGTCAGACCCCAGTTCCATATTTAGAACTGTCATTGTTTATCTGGAAAATATAATATAAATTATTAGTATTAATTGATCATTAGATAAGATAAAGATTTTAGATTGTTTGTAGCGCGATAATCGCATACACATATTTCATTTCTATAAATACCGAGGCTCATTTCATTTATTAAACAAATTCTTAAGAATATTGATGCGTTAACATTTAAACAAATTAATTATTTTTGCAAGGCATTTCAAGTAGGTCAAGGCCGTTTCTACGCAAACGTGAACATTTTTACAAGTTTTTACGTCTTCGAGGTTATTATACATAGGTTTAAGTAATGTAGGATAATTTTAAAAGCCATTCAAGTCATAGTATTTCAAATATGTCATGACATAACACAGAGAAACTGCCATTTTTTTTCTTGTACTTTCAGAGAAAGCAAGAAAAACCTTCTAAGAAAACTTCTTAAATTGAACGTGAATTCCTTTTTAACTAGAAATAATGAAAGAATCTTTTTAAACAATATAGCAATCATAAATGAACTGCAATTTTTGGATTACTTTTTTAACTTTATAAAAATAGTAGTGGCGAAAATTTAGCGAGTATGATTTAGATAACATAAAAATTAACACATATGTAAACTTTCTGATATAGTCTCAGAGACCTTCTGAAATTAGATAGAATTTTATATTCTTTTCGGAGTAAAAACTCATTTGAATGTTTGATAATAGACAATTATTGAATTACGTGATTCCTTTCAACTACACGATATATAGAAGACACAATATATATCGAAAATTGTGACATTTTTTCGTTAAAAAAGAAATATTTATCGATCTATAAAATTGCCGTAATACCACACGAGGCGGTATTCTCTTGTGAGGATCCGGAAATGAAACACGTCAAGGATAGCATAAAAAATTCAGTGGGCCATAACTTTATCTGTTAAATATCTTCTATATGCTCTTGGTTATTTCAATTTAAATATAACAACATATTTAGAAATAACTTTTAAATAAAAAAGTTTCGGATTTTATCCATTTATATTGAAATCATATTACAAATCAGTGGGCATTAAAACTTCTTTTAAATTATTTACCCTACCATTTAAACGTTATGACGTCTTTCAATGTCATTAACAAATAAAAAAACGTCTACGTTTGCATTACGTATTGTAGTACGCAGTAGTAGTATAATTTATCAAACAATGATATGCATACATTCGATAGTTTTAATAGATTTATTTTTTGAAAAAATAAACGAAATATATTGAAAATATTTATTTGACAAACAAATTTTTACGAATTTAAATTTCAACTACTAGTTGTATCGTATGACGTTACTAATAAACTACGTAAACCGAATAAATCTGTTTAATCAAATTTTATACCCTTCAGTCAAACAATCTGTTAATGGCTTCTGCACATCGAAGTAAAATTACCCGTGACAACGCATATACTTACAATTTAATTGCCAAGAATTACGCGAACATATCTTTCCAATTAAAAGTTACAAAAAGAAAATTGATGACTATGAAATAGAATTCACCATTAGTTACGAATGGCATTGAAAAATCGAAAAACATTGTTCAGGTATAATTTACATTAATGAGACTAACATTCAAAACTCGTTAGTCATAACAATCTTGAACCATCTGTCTATCAAGCGTGATAAGTCTATTTGTCAATATCTCGTTACTCAGTATCCGATGATACTTGTCACTATGGGTAAACACACGCTTCGAAACTCCATTATCGCGGTGTTTCATTAAATTTCTATCCGAGCAAGAGGAAGCACTTTGGATACGCTAATTTTATGACGCGATAGTATAGAGCACAAGGACTCTCGTGAAAATTGAGAAAACAAGCACAATAATTCATGATCGAGCACCTGTTCGCGGCGCAAAAGAAAAATTTCTCGCTTTAACGATCGCTCACCGATTTCCTCTCGAATTGGAAAGTGAAAGTCCTTTGTTTCTCACTTTGCGTCTATCTCACTGTAAAAACAAGAAAACACTGGACTATTCTCTCAACTCGGGAGCTCAAGCACGTACGATACCGAACGACAAAATGCAAGACTTGCCAAGCCTCACTCTGACTTCTTATACGAGCGCTGAATGGGGATTTTACTTGTAGCAAAGTCCGTAGTCATTTTTGGGGGAGGGGGGAGATGAATTCTTCTTCACTATTGTGGCAAAGACCTACATATATATATACATAGCGAATGCTCTCTTTGCTTTTGGCTTCGACTGTTGACAACGCTAGACATTTAGATAGTTCAGGAATTTGTATTAACCTATTCAGATATTTCTTTCATTGTTCTTTACATATGTACGCGAATCTGCAGTAAATACTTTTTCAAATAATTCTTTTATCATTTTAATCGTTTGATTTATTTTCAAATTCAAACATTTCAAGTTTCAGTATTATATTTTGTAACAAGGTCAACAATTTTCACAGGAAAGGTTGTAAATTAAACCAAGCCATACCATATAACAACAAAGTTGCCACGCTATTAATATGGAATTTTCTAATTAATTTCTGATTTTCCTTTAACTTATATTTTTTAATATTTCAGGAACCTATCTAAGGAATAAAAATTCCATTGCATTACTATAATTGGATTTGTGAATTCTGGCTTTTTTAATAAAGTGAAAAATATTTCATTAATGATCGATATTTATATCGATAATTATGTATCTTTCTCGCTGTTAGATTATTGCAAAATGATGAAAAATATGCTCTGCTTAATATAGCATTAGAATGGTTCGAGAAGGAACAAAATTAGCAATATTAACAATTTAGTATTTGAAATCTAGAAAACGAACCACTTCGTTATTTGGTATACGTATTTATTTATCGACATATCGACCAATTATTACACTGGAAAATAATAGTTCTATACGCGTATGTTATGCTTATAAATTAACAAGTTAATGAGTTTAAACAAGTTGTCAATTAGAAAGTTACCAAGAATTATACTAAGAATTAACAACTAACTTTAACAAAAGGAGTGTATTACTTACGACCACCGATCAATAAATTTGATAACTAAGTTTAAATTATCTTTATTTGTTATTTTATTGTAATTTAAAAGTAGAAATTGTTGAATTATTATTTTCAAAAAATTATACAAAAATTATTCTAACTTCTAAAGATATTATGTAAACCAATATTAGAAAAAATCCAATCAATAAATAATCAAGAATTACTCTGGATTCATTATTGAATGGGTCTTTAAAAAATAGAAACAATCGTTTTTAAAGGTTTTTAGCGTTAGCAGTGCACAATCACATACTAAATGCTAAATGGACAATATTTGTTCACAATCTCGTCTGCATAAGGACTTTGTAAAAGATAGACCCAAAGTTCCAAAAATCCGTTAACAATCCATGTTACATGTCAGTTTGTGATAAAAGCTAATTTACAGCCATTACATTCAACTAAAACTGGCACGTCCATAAGTAACCAAAAATCGCTAAAATCCGGAGACAAATCATCCCGTTGTGCTTGCCTTATAGCCCCGTTAATAGGATGCATTTATTTCTGAGGTTGAATGTCATCGTGACGTTGGCACAATACTTGCACCTATTTATCTTATATATTTGATTTTTCGTGACAGTTATAAAAAAGACAAATCTCTTCAATTGTAGTTATTTTTTAATATTACAAGAAATTTGCAATTGTGATTTACATAAATAATATCACACCTATCGAAAATATACTCAGTGTAAAAACACTCAGTGTTAAAAATTAATAAACGTCTCTCTCTCTCTCTCTCTCTCTCTCTCTCTCTCTCTCTCTCTCTCTCTCTCTCTCTCTCTTTAAAGGTGGATTTTCGAATTGTATTCCAAATCTATAATTTATCATATCGAAAATTGCTATAAATTATCTTTTAATTTTTTTCACTATACGGGTTAAATTACTACTAAACGTTTATCCTACTCATTACGTATTAACTAATCGTAATACTGGATATAAATGACTTAACATTTTATAAAGAGAGAAATTCTGAAGATCTTTGTACAAAAATAGTTTTAATGGTCGATATTTTTAATTTAAGAGGCATAAGATTAAAAAGTTTATATTTCAGAGAGATTTATCTTATTTGGAGTGCAATATTTCTCATTATATCAGAAAAGCTTTTTGGTTTAATATGTAAATGAAAAGAAGGAAAGGAATCTTCAGTATAATAAAAAAAATTACTAAAAATAAAAGAATATATTTCTCTTTCAAAGTAGACTTTAGGTTTCTTCATTTATAAACATACAAATGTTATCTTTATTGCATTCCATTACAAAATACAATTTCTTCTGATTAAGAGCTTTTCAAATATTACGTATGATTCCTGCGAGTGTATCAAATTTCAGTTAAAATTATTCTATTCTAATAATAAAATTCAAAGATTAATTAATTTCAAAATTTTTCTACTTTCTAACAGAAAACTTTAGTTATAATAATAGAAAGACTACTATTTATGTATAATCAGTCACGAAAATAATATTGAGTGTTGTATATTGTATCTATTAGGATCGCTTATGTTATTTAAATATATGATGAATCGATTTTTCTTATTGACAATAATAAAGTAAGTATTTTTTAAAAAAGCATTGGTATTGTTTACTATATACATAAATAGTTTCCTTAGATTTAAAACAATGAAAGATCGATGCTTCATTTAATTGTAATTCGCGCAATCTACAACTTCGTTTAAAATTCCGCTCAGTTTGTTAAATCCCAGCCTTGCAAGAGAAGAAAGAGTGCAGATTGTATAGTCCATTAACCACAAAACGCAAAAAAGATGAGTCGAACAAGCCGCCCACTTGTAGAAATTCGGAATTCTAATTTATTCGATAAGACATTTTAGCGTCTTCGTTTTTCATTCTTTTTACTTCCTTAAGGTAGTCACGGCTCTGTTGACCGTGAAAATAACACTGTAAAGTTAAAAATATCACGTGTATGAGGCAATAGCTGTTGTTTACTTTTTATCTAAATTATCGTTTGAATAACCCAAAAATCTTATATGGAAGTTGACTTTAACTTTAACCGGAATTTTATTTGGAGTTTCACGATGTAAATCCGATTATGTATAACGCGGAATGTATTTCAATGGCGATAATATATAAATTTTGATAAACGTTTGAAACAGATATTACTTTCACTTATTTTTAGTCACATTTTAGTAATTTATTTAATGGCAACGTTAAAGCATTTACTCATTGGTTCTGTAAAGCAATTTAAATCGATTATGTAGTTGACATAACTGCTTTTTATTTATATTTGTATGTATGTAAAACTATAGTATTTTCCTTAAGATAATTGACGTCATTATGTAATATTTAAAATTTTGATCCAGAAGATGTGTCATTGCAGTTAAGTTTTGTCAATACGTAGTATGATTTATTTTCCAAATAATTCGTTATGCATTTATAAATGGATTTTATAATTTACATTTTATAAAATGAGTTCAAAATTGATCTATAAGCTGAGCTGTGTGGGATTTCTGAAAAAGAAAATTATAAAATAGTTCAAAGTAGGATAAACAAAATAAGATGAAACAATTGAAATATTCACCTAAAATAAATCAAAACTCAGAATGTGTCTTCGAATGCGTTTCCGGAACTATATCTGTGGATGCATGATCTCTTTTAAATGTATACTCATCAACTTAATGTCTTAACAGAAATATCAAAATAAAAATTGTTCTCGTGCCGAAAAATAATAAAAATTATTTAAAATGTTTTAATAGATTATGCATCTGCATAATAAATATATCATGCATTAAAGTAATGGCCTTGACCACAACTGTAATATCGTAAAATGTTATTCCTTGTACTTCCTCTTGTATAGAAAAAATTGAAGAACGTTCATATCATCAATGGTTTCCTTTAGTTTCAAAAATTACAAAAATGCCCAAGTATTAATGGTTAAGAAATAATCCTTGTATTCGTTATGATGATTTTGATATGATAACAGTCGTCTCTTAAACCTCTATCATCACCAAGCTATGAAAATCCTGTGAAGTCGTCTTATGCCATGCTGAGAAATATAAAAGAACTCAGAGAAACCATCGCGACTTGTTAATGGAAGTACCTATTAACTGTGTAGCAAGTGTCAACGACCTGAAAAAGTTTACTTCCTTTTACAAATTATATTGCACTGCTGACGTTATAGATTCTTTATGCAATTGCGTGACTTTTTAAATATCAGCCTTGGCAAGAAATGTTTGTTCTAGAACGTTTTGTGATTCGTTTCGTGCGCGAACTAGAATCCTAATAATTTACGAACAGGTTTCGTAAGGTTATTTTTCCACTTTTTAATCTACTATTTTGAAATGTAAGAGAAACTTTTATTTATTTGTAATCACAATGCCTTACCCATGAATAAAATATATAATTCTTAGAATGTTTCTTTTTTTTTTCAAATACTTTTTGTTACCAGACAAAGCTTTACCTTCTCAGCAATCGAAATGCAAAATTTTCTTGCATACGTCAAAAAACCTTGAATTCTCAATGCAACAAAATTCCATCGATTATCCAAGTACGTGTTCGGCACGCCGAGCAGTCCATCGTCACGTGCGCAAGATGGCTGGAGTTTTCGTTGAGTCTTCGATTAGTAATTGAAATCGTTTTGAAAATCTTCAATTAGAGCAACTTTTGCATTGCGCACCTAACTGCTGGCGAAAATAAAAGTAAAAAAAAAAGCGAAACTTTCAAAGAGAAAGAAGAACGAAGACACATCGAATGGAGGTACATCCGATTTTGGAATTCGTAGCCTCGGTTATATAAGACGATCCTTACCATTCGCATTTGACGAAAGTACGTTTAGCTTCCGAGCTCGCAAGTCCTTTCGAACGAGTCGGAAATTACATTGCATACGTAATCAGTGGCGCAATGGCTTTGCGAACGCGATTTCGGTTTATTTCAACGGTACTCGTTGTCGTTTTATGTTTATTTACTCGCTTTACAAATCGCAATTGATTATACTTCAGTGCAAATAAATAATTACTTTTTTACGATTCCGATTATGTCGTCTGCACTTACCTGCGGCAGCATTATTGTAAAAAATTCATAGTTGCTTGATTAGATTGCGTCATGATTTTGACTGCGGTGCTCGGCGCTAGTAGGTCATTATTAGTAAGCATACGAACAATCTTGACCTTTACATGGATTTTATTATTCAATGCTGTGCAAAGAAGAATTTGCCCGATCCATTAAATGGTCGCAAACAAAATATGAGAATAATGTCAGATATCTCGATTACGAATTATGAGCTCCCGTTTGAACATGATTTTAAATACTGAAATAAAGTTAAACAAAAGATTTCATTATAAAAAGGGGTTACGTTTAATAGTATAATATAAATAGTCCATGTACAGAAAAAAACTACAAATATCACTACACCGCGTCTTAAAAAAAAAAGAAAAAAAAAACGCATCCCGTAACATGGTAATAGTTTCTTGCACAAGAAAACATCATGTAAAAGGAAAAAAATCCAAAAAAGTGTACCGTTACGTTTAAAAAGTGATTCTACTGCTCTGGAATCGCCGATTAAAACACGGCTTTCGCAATCTCTGTCAGCTTTACTCGTCTTCCAACACATACAAAAAATGCAATTAACGCATATTCGTCTTTGAAGCTGAACTATGTAAAATAAAAATACAAATGAAGAAGATCGAATGTGCGATGTCTCCGGATGGATGGAATGTTGGGTTACACCCGACGATACACGTATTTTTTGACGCGACCACGTTGTCGCGACAAGAAGTTTCAGCAAAATAAAAAGAAATATCTTTGTCTTCCGGAGATGGTTAAAGCACTAGATAGTAGACGGTTTTCAACGCGAACCAACTCAACCTCAACGCGCCATAGGCGAAGAGGGCTTTCGTCGCTTGATGTAGCCAATACATTCTGAAAAAAATAAAATTCAAAGATTAATTGATAATTCTATGAGTTCTGATTGGAATGGGAAACATGAATGCTATTGACGGTATAAATAAATAAATAAAGTATAAATCACTTTTGACAACATATCAAAAGTGAACGTTGGCGCTATCTAGCGGAGAAACTAACAACTGCGTCAACTCAAAATTATACTTTGAAAACTTTATCAGCCACAGCACAAAATTCTATAAACCGTCAAAAAATAGTGAAACTGATATTTCGTGAACTCAGTTAAATCTTTATGCTTTCAATTTTTTAAATTTACTGATTCCTTTAATAACGCGATCGTTTCGATTTCACGCCGGATAATGGAAGAATACTAGTCTTTGTAGTAGGCAATTAATGCATATGTCGGAGTTTTACTACCAAAAAAAAACAATATCTTTTAGTAACTCAAATGAAGCAATAAATAAGTGAAGTCATAAATAACAACTTGAAAATATGAACCATAATTCATCTAAAACAGCGTATTTGACTTGCAAATTTATTCTAGTAAAAACACTGTTTACTGGTGACTTTCGATGACTTTTCTAATATTGAATTTATGAGGATAGAGTCAGTGTACGAGATCACTAATTTTCCTAAAATTTGAAACTACAATTTATGAAAAAGTGTTAAAACTATCTCATAGGTCTTTCATCACTAGATAATAATGTAAAAAATCTTAAATTATGACTAATTTCTTAGAAAATCTAGGTACTAGTAAGAATTCTACTTACTTTATTTTTAAAATGTGCCATGGCTAGTAGAAATTAAGAGTTTTTATTTGCTACTTTATATCATCAAAAATTACGAATTTTGACTTGAATAATATCGATCAAAAATCATTACTTTCGGTCGTGTAAAACAAAATTAGAGTTTTCGGTTGCTATTGTCTATCTAATTTTTCATAATGGTTAAAAAAAAATTTCGGCTTTAATTACGAGAAATAATTTAATTTTCGTAATCTTTCACATTAATGCCTATATATAGGGGTTCTGACACTTATTTCATAATTTATTGATTACTAGAGACTATCCCTTCAATTTTCAAATAAATAAAAGAACCCAAAGAAATCATAACAAGTAATGAAATGTAAGATTGCAATGAGGTGAATATCTAGAAATACATCAAGTGACGTTTACCTTCGCCACCTGATTTTCGCAGCATGAAGATTGTCCAGAGGTTCCTTCATTAGATACGTTCTGATGCCTTTGATATAACTCTGGAAGTAGAGATCCCAGTCAACATCACGCATATCCATGTAGAACAAGCTCCTATCCTTATTATGAAGTTTATCGGCAAGAGCATTCACATTATCATTTTTGAATTGCCACTCTTTTGTGGTAAAGTAGTTCAGGACATCCATGAATTTCATGATCTTCTTGTAAATGCTGAGCATCCTGTAAGCAAGAAAATAGGAAATGAGCACTCGATTCGCTGACTCGCTATGTAATTTCATAAAAGTATATCTCTTAACATTACCTTGGCTGCTTTCCAAGGCACAGAGTCACGGTGTCTACCAACAGAGCTGGCAGAAGATGCAAGAAGTACATGTACAATGTATGGACAAACTTGCTCTTGGTGTTGCGGAAACTGTAGTACCATACGGCACGTGTTAATGGATATTCGACACCGTATATGGCTGAGTAATCCTTCAATTCATCCCAAGTAATAGGATTATCTTTCGATACGTAGTTGTAGATTGGTATTTCTTTGGTGTTTTTGTTGTTTCTGGAAACACGATGACATTGTGAATATTTGAAAATGTTTAATTAAAGTGTTTTAAGCTTTTAATTTTAATGCAAAGAATGAAACTATTTAAATGTTTTTTTATCTTACTCGCGAGTCGAATCTAATGTAACGGTATGTGAAATGTGAATGAGACTTTGGTATTTTTTGCAATTTCTTTCTAGTCGTAAGTATGACACTCATTAATCAACGTAATACTTTCTGCACGTTTCGTTTGAACTTGCGTGTGCCGCTTTTTAGGAATGATCTTGTTTTTCTAATTTTAATGATAACATGAACTGCTGCATTATGTTACACAATATTACTTTGTAATTCATTTGAATGCATTGGAGGATACAATTTGTTTACACCTACTTTCCAACGTTAGCAATGTCCCACGCGCTAGCAATGAGAGCATTGATGGTAAGGTCGCCAGGAACGACATTTGCTTTTAGTTTACCATCACAATGCAGGGAGCGAAGCAGCCCTCCACCTGCACCAGCGGCCACACCTGTTGGTCCGTACATATTATCGATCCAGCCTCGCACGGGTTCCATGTATGTTGAAATCACTAAAATTGTTTCGTAATCAATTAGTTTTCCGTGAAAGGATACGTAATTATTCATCGTTATTACATTATTCATAATATTATTGAATCATGACAAATAAAAGCTTCTGAAATTTTCTATGCAAAGCAATTCTTTGCGACCTCTACTTCAAAGATTTCCGATGCAAATAGCTAGAAGAGTGTTTACAGATAATAAAAACTGTCGACTTGATTCACGTTTACGTTTTATCAAGTTTTCAAGTGAGTACGGGTTCAATTAGCGTACAGACTATAATTTATGCTACGCTAATCTAATAAATGCATGCACTAACCAATAGCGGGTCTAAAGATTCCAATAGGTAAATCGCCGCTTTCCTTGCAAATCACATCCTCTGCCACTGCTTTAGTGAAGGTATAAGTGTTAGGCCATTGACCGAGTATGCTACAAGAAACACATTCAAAACGATCGATTGAATGGCATAGACATGATCAAAAATCCAAGAAGCAATGCACACTTACGGTCTCGTGATGTCATCGATGAGCTTCTCATCTATGCCCTCAACGAGCGCAATAAGCTTGTTGCCGTCGATCGGCGCGTCGTAGAATTTCTCTTCGATCTCGTTATGCACGCAGTTTGCATAGGCCGTCGATACGTGAACGCATGCCTACGGAAAATGGTGTAGTTTCGCAATATTATTCTGAAATCAATTATGAAAACCATGGTTTTATGTTTAGTTTCTCACCTTGAGCTGCGTCATGTCTTTACAAAGCTTGATGATATCCCCAGGACTCTGTACATTGATAGCGACGGCGAGCTGGAGTTTCTCGTCGAACCTTACGGTTGCAGCTACGTGAAAGACGATCGAGATTTCACGCGTCAAGATTGTTCGGTCCGCTGCCGATAAACCGAGTCCTGGAAGGCTGCAATCCCCGGCAACAGCGACAATTTGGTATCGGAATTTCGGTCGCTCTTCTTTCAATTTCAAAAAAAGCTGTGAACAATTCATTGAGATGACCAGAATTCCGTTCTCTTGATTTTTATTTGAGAATTGCTACGAGCAATTAACTGCTGAACGTACGGAAAGGAAAAAAAACGGCAGTTTTCTCGGCTTTGACCAATGCACGGTCTGTTTTTTTTCTCCTCGCGAAACGTCAAACTTCAAGAATAGAAATTTACATGTGCGGAAACATACTTTGTCGACCGCTCGTTTCCAAGTTTTTTTTATAATCGTTAAAAATCCATGTATGGATTATTCAAAATGTTCATCCGCAATAACTCATAAAGACGACGAGACGAAGTAAAAAGTAAACGCACGACTCACAACATCATCAATGAGCTCTTCGGTCCTTTGATGAACGTCCTTGCCTTTCTTCGGACGTACCAGTAGATAAATAAATGCGATTCCAGGACAACTGCGTAACAGCTTCTCGATCAGCAATTTGCCCATAAAACCAGTACCGCCGGTAATGAAAATACTCTGACCAGCGTAAAACTCTTGTATTGGTGTCATCGCGACCGTTGTATTCTCATCGTCATTTATCTTTTGCGTCTGCGAATGTGTTACCAATTTGGCAGTGCATTCGGTTGGTGTTCCAGCTCGCGAGCTGCACGTTTCCGCGAGGGCCACCTCCTGGCCGCCTGATTCCATCAGTACCTCTACCATATCGCGTGCTGACTTTGAAGTTTACTTTAAAGAAAGAGAAGATCTAGATTGTAGTTTTTTCATGACAGCAATTTGAAAACAATGGTATTGTATATATTTATAGGGCTGCAATTATCATACTAAAAATTGCATCGAATTAAGTAAACGAGCGCTTCAATCTACAGTAGCTTAATGAATTCTTTATGCAACTCTGACTGAAATATGCTCCAAAAGAAAGAATAAAAGTTCCTATGAATTCATTCGACTGCGTAAAATAAGTGCACGAATACATCCAGCTGAACTTGCGGGTGATATATGTGCAGTGTGCACAATATGCACTGCCAAAATAGTACATTACGATACAAGTGCGGGAAAGCAGATCGTAAAACTCTTTCCGGAACATGTGCCGTACCGTATTTTTTGATACGATGTGTGGAAAGTGTGATTTTCAACGCACGTTTTCTGCCGAGCGTCCTGGATAGACGCACTTTGCGCACGGAGTATGGTAAAAATGTCAAGCCTATAGTCACGAACGTGCCGGACTTGGTAAGCATTGTGCAAAGAGGATCTTCTAGATCGTATACGCGGTTCGACGGAATTTCAAATTTGTGCATGTCGCGAGCGTAATTGCGCAACTTGTCAAATGTCCTCTAGGAAATATAGAGCAGTTGCAAGCCTGTAGATCAAGTTTATTCTTACGGAAACGGATTCGGTTAAATTGCGTTGCTTTGGTCCACTCGAAAGAGATGCGATTATTAGCTTTGTCGGCATAAACGCGACATTAATCGCCGCGACATTGCAGCGTAAAGCTGCCGACGTCTAGTGCGCGTGCGACGATAAATTTCCCTCGTATCTCGAAGCGGCTTCTCGCTTTTGTCGAAATCGCTCGTTCTTATTTGGTAATGAACGCACACGCGAGCGTGCGCGCGCATACCAGAGGTGGCGCGTTCGCAGGTGAAAGTTGATCGTGAACTTCGGGCGCGCGGTCGCACGAACGAAAATAGAGCGCGCGTCGCGCTTTTCACGGGCGATGGCACAAGCGACGTTTGTTTTGGGAAATCTCTCGCGTCGAGCCGCCCCGAGGATCCGGGACGACCATTTTCAAACGGCGATCGATCGGAGTGCGCACGCGTGATCGCGGGAGCCAGTAGGCGCCCCGGCGTCGAGAAGCTTTTCCGTGCGCGACCGAGACGAAACGTGTTTTCGCTGTTTTCAGATACCGAGGCGATGGATTGTCTTGGAGCCGCGCTGCGGATAGTCTACACTCGTAGAACGCCGCGCCGACGTAAATATAAACATTAACATGTGACTGGCATTGTAAAATTGTTGCGCTTTGCTAGGCGAGATTGTATCGGACAATGAAGGCATCCGATTTTGTAAGAGCGATTAAGTTTCCGCGCCGCCGGTAATTACAATTAAACTTTATGGTTACCGACGATTCTTTCAGTCCGATCGTTAAAGATTGCGTAAAAATTTGGTGTCAGGCCAGCGAATGGCTTCCGAGAAGCCAAAGCAATAAAAAAAAAAGAAAATCTCACAATAACCAAGGCGGTTTTTCTATTTTTTGTTGCTTTACATCTCCCCTTAGCGTTCGCGGACGAACGCGTTTCCACTCGCAAGCGAACGTTGGAAGTGGCTCGCGCGTAACGCTCGGCAGAACATTATTCGTTGTTCTCCGCATATCCAACCGATCTCCGCACTCGTCGGATCGATTAGCTAGCGTCGCAGCGTAAAAGTGCAACACGATGATTAACCGGAGCAGGTAAGGGACCCGCAGTCGCCGAATCAAACCTGAATCAACAACTATCACTTTAGGCTCCACCCATCGTCGAAACTTCTTGCAAAAGCCATGAATGAGTATATATAACCGACAGCTCGTAAACTGGCCGATTTTCTTACACCTTTCTACGCTTTGCAAGCGGGGAGTGCGAGATTATGTAATAAAACACTCAGTGACCTGTCGACGCGGAAGACACAAAGAGACGTCTTCTTCTTCTTCTCCGTATGTAAAGACATGCGGGTGAAAAACGTCGTTTTTTTCCTAGTCGTTGCGCAAACCCGAGGCGCTAGTACGCTCTGCTCGATTTTCAAAAGCGCAAAGCTACGATCTTTTATGCAACAGGTGCAAGGCAAATTACAAGTTTTGGCTAACTAACTTTGATCCGCTTATCGATGTTATGTCAGAGCGGTTTTATGCAGCAAGACAATTTTTCGTCGTCGCGCGGATTCGTTGCGAATTTCCGCACATTTTAATCGCCGTACGCCTTATGCAAAGCTGGTATGTTTGCGTACCGGACCGAGCCGATATATTTTAGCCCGAGTATCCACGCGCGAACCACAAGCGAGAAACGTTCGTTGGCATCCCGCAACAGAAGGAAAAACTCGATTGTGAAAAGCCGTGAAAGCAACCGAGCGCTAGGAATGAAGCTGCATCCAAAGAGAATATCTCGCCTCGGTAGGACAACGGGCGAAACGGTACAAGGCACGCCGTCATTGTTTGCGGCTTGATGTTCTTTTTAACGAGAGCGCCTAGCGGTACAAGGAGGCTGCGCCGAACGGGAGCAGGGCATACTACGCGTCGCGCCGCGGGCCGCGAGCTTCCGGAGAGCAGAAGAGCCGGGGAGCCACGGCCGAGCGATCGCCAGCTGCAAAAGGATTCAAATGAAATTGCAAATCGACAGACGCGCCGAATAAAGCCATCGAGTCGACGAGGCGCGCAGCGTGTGCGCCGCTCGTCATAGCGCGCACTTGTCGCTCGAGTGCTAATCCACGATGTGCGACACGTAGCTTGCTGCGAGAGATGCGCCCCCCCCCCTCCCCCAAGTCTCGCGAACGCGCGCGCCTCTTTGTGTGCACGTGGAAATCTTAATTGAGAAAAGCCGTACAGCCGAAATATAAATGACGCGCGAAGGCTACATCGACGGCGATGCGCGGCTTGGCGCAGCCGAGAGTAAACGCCCTCTTCCTCGCTTTGTTTGCCAACGTGTCATAATGCCAAGGAGATGATGCTCTGTTTGCTCTCTCGCGCCGGCGTTGCGCAAAAGTGCCGAGACGCCAACTCGCGAGGCAAACCTTGTCGCGCATCCTTGGCGAGGAGCGAAAAGCTCGAGCCCGCGGCTGGGCGCGCCGTCACCTTCCAAGCCGCTTCTCCGCGGCGACTCGCGGGACCGTCCAGCGAACGCTCGCGACTAATTGTCCGTGGCAATTACAGCGAGAGTGCTCGTCCGCGCGTTCGGCGCCTCGCTACGACAGCAAGGTCAAACGCTACCGTGCCATTGCAGCATCGTTTTGCATTTATTATGAATTCAGAGCGGAGCGAGGTCCGGAATAAAAGGTTCTGACGGCGCGTCGACATAACGATGCAATTTGCCGGGAACGTTTCGTCGAAATTAATAGCCCACCAAGGCTTCGACTTTCGCATCTTTCACGCCGCTGATCAATAATGCAGCTGGTGTGTTTGTTGTGTTGAGCAATCGGTTTGTCAGCGGCTCGTGTGGCGTCCGTAATGTGCTCGTTGGCTTCGAGCTGAGCCCGCTTCTGTGTCAAAGGTTATGGGCTTCTCGATAAAACTTTCGCGCGAGGCATCGTCGCGAAAAATCTCGATGTTAGGCGCGTGACGCGGCGCGCGTCGCTCAAAAACATCCGGAAACGTCCACGAGAAATTTCACCAACCTCGTTCTCTCACTTTCTCTCTAGCTTCGTGAAACACCGCACAATATACACAAAAGCTTCTCCTACGGGGACACAACGACGACGACGACGACGATGACACAAGGCGAGCTCGCGGTTACTTGGCTACCGGCAGACTAAAACTCTCGGCGGAGAGGACTTTAAAAACCACGGAGCGCGCGCGCTGTCTGCTCTCAGACACCAAACCTCTCGGATAATTGCGTACAGTGGGGAGCAGCACACCGCACTAAACTAAGCCTCCTTCGCACCGAGCGCTTTCTTTTTGTAAGCTTATCTAGGCCTACGCTAATGACTTTTTTGCTGCTGTTTGTGATAATCCTAGTGATCTCGATTTCTTCTTTCTCTGAGAGGTAGGTGGAGGGTGGTAAACTACCGATGCCAACGAATTTCAAGCTTTTTCCGGAGAAATAGGAAACGTAGTTACGTTCTTTTATTTCTTCATTAGATACTCGGTTCATGGTAAAAATCACGTTCAACCGCTGAAATTCACTCGGGAAAAGTATTTTGACTTAAGGAAATTTACAAATAACTTATTTATATTGGTGCTTATAGCCATTGGATTCTTAATTTTGTTGGACTTTAGTCAGAATGGTTATAATAATTGAACTTTGCTTTGAGGCGTCAAAGATTAGATTATTTCAAAACTTTAATTATATTATAATAATACAAGTGTTAATTTCACTGTTCGATGATAATGTTGTTACTAAGATTGAGCACAGACCATGGAAAGAAAAATGGAATATCCGATTTACTCGTTTGAGTAAGAGCATGTCAAAACACATGATTCTTAAGTAATTGAAAGAAAAAAAAAGCTTCAAATTTTTTTATTGATGTATGAATTTCCTAGATAAAGATACGCTAAGTTTACGATTAAGTGTTCGACTTTTAATTGTCAAATTCAGTTTTATCATTGTTGGAACATTTTTATTGAAATACTCAGTAAATGACGCAGGTGGTTTCAACTAATGTATTCCAAAATACTCACTTTGCTATCTTTTTCGTTGAAGAGAAAAAGTTGTGTGACGTGCGTCGACTCAACACACTTGCATATTGTCCAATATATATTCATATTCATGATAATTAAAATTGCATTTTCGAAAATCAATGCGATATTTAAAATTTCATTCTTAACATTATATGGAAAAATCTTCCAAGTTTTATCATTTTTATGTCAATTTTAATTTTAAGTTGAACACGTTAGTCATTGAATAAATTTAAGCCAAGTGGATGAATAGTATATTTTATGTTTTTCTATCGAATGTTCAAAATTTTATCGAAGACTTCCGAACATTCTGTTGCACGTTTCTCTAGATTTATTTCGCATCGAGAGTGTTAGTACAAACGACAAAAATTATTTCAAAAATATAATACAATGAAATAAATCACTGTCAGTCATCTTGCTTGGTTGATTTTCCAGATTCCAAAACATGATTTCAAAAATTATTGTATTGAACTCCTAGTAAGGATCCAACGGTACTCCTTGGACGCCTAGCTGCTTGAAAGTGTCGGCATTTAGTGAAATATTATTAATTGTCCAATTATATCTTCTATTGATTTTTTAATAAATAATCAAAGATTTGAGTTTCAGCCAATTACAATTTTTTTTCGTGATTCTAGCACAATCCTATAGAGAAGCATTAAGTTATTTTATAAAATATTTGTACTACTTATCAAGAATAAAGTTGCTTCTCAAAAAATTAACATATCACATTAGGAGGATAAATATTGAATTAAAGAAGGAATAGCATGATTTAACATTTTATACAAACTTTACTGGTTCCATAAACTAGTTCACACCCATTTAAAGGCAACAGTTTAAAAGTAATCATTAAGAAGACTTATTTATCAATCGGCGGACTGTATTTGCTTTTTTTCTTTTTGTTACTTAAAATTAAACATAAGCTTGTTCAAACATTCAACTTCGTTCAAAACTAAATTACACGTGGCAGTTCGGCTACAACAATCAAATAAAATTGAGCGCCTGTGCGAATATTTGCTTTGACATTTTTTATATAAAGAATCAGCGTTGAATAACTTCTGGAGTTACTTTGTAATAAGAAAAAAGATGCATTGATCAACATTCAATCATTGCATGACATTCGTCTATTTCAAGTATCGATTATTGCTTCTATTGCTTGTTACAGACAGAAGAAGAAAGGTCACTTGAGAATCAAAAGATAAAGGCACATGCCATGCGTTTCTTTTATTATCAGCTGTGCATCATCGCATAATAATTAATATTGAGTGAGCTGTGAACGTGACCTTTTAGTTTACTCGCATCTCTACTTTTGTAAATTCACTATACTAGTAGTATAGATAATTTATGTATAGAAAATTTATGTCTAAACGATAGTTCGTGTTATTGCTGTGTCTACGATGACATTTTTGAAAACTCATAAGAATCATACTGATCACGGTACCGGGAACGACATTAAACTATTTTGAGCTCGAAAGACTATTATAAAACTCGAAATGTTCATGTTATACAATCACATTAATTGCTCTATTATACAGTGAAACCAGAAATTACTAAATTCTAATTATAAAAACGAACTTAAATACTACGATATTGCATTGCTTTTGCATTGTAAAAGTAAATTGTTCAATCACAACATTATCCACAGTAATCAATCATTTTATAACAGATTCATGAGGTTATTTCGTGTAACATTCAAACGACGATAGTTAATTCAATGATTAATATTTCAATAACTGCAAAGCTTTGTAAAAAGTCTTTCGCAAAATACTGTAATGTTCTCTTCACAAGAAAATATTTATGTATATCTGTATATTGTAGACTCTTCAATGATTCTGTTATATACCATATTTCACTTCAACGACAAATTTATGAAAATATTTACACAAAACGATCGAGATCGAATAGAAGTGGTGATCTCTCTTTTTTTTCTGAATCAATCCAAATATATAATCTTTACATATAAATAGTAGAAATACATTTGACGTTAAAGAATCTCCCCCCTCCCCCTCCTTTGATTCTTTTAGGATACTCAGACCTCTAGAAAAGCTTGAAAAATATTCAAAAGCTTTTGAAATATTAAATTTTTTGAGTAGGATGCTCCGGAAATCAATTCATCATACAAAATTTAGCACACAAAAGAAAAAATTCAAATAATCGGCTCGTTAGAGATGAAGGTCGTTTAAGCCTGCACATGGTGTAACTGCAACGGCGGTATAATTTGCGATCTCGCGAAGAAACCCTTAGAAGCTCTTAAGTTTGAACAGGAAGCGTTCAGTGGATGAGCATATTGCGAATTCCAATCGCGATAGAACAAATCTTCAAGTTGCTGGCGAATACTATTGTTATTACGCCGATCTGCGTCTTCGAATACCATTCCGATTCCTAAAAAACAAGTTTGATTAGTAGATAAGCAAAGGCGGGATATCCGCTGACAAAATTTATTGCAAGTGTAATTTACTATCGTATTGCGTTATTTAAGATAGGCATTTATATCAGTTAATAACGAAAATACTCCAACTGCTGTCGAATTTATGGCTCGGAAGCATTAAATTTTATCTTGAATTATAAACTTTATTATTACTTCTACGCGTCTGATCTGATCAGCAGCTGAAGTATGTAGTTAAGCATTAAGTAAACGTCATTCAACAAGAATGAAATTGACGTTTGTCATATATTACATTATTCAAAGAATTCTTTTTAGTTATTCAAGTTTTTTATTATAAACCGATATTTTACGACATAATTACCAGCCGTGTTGATAAAGTAGTCTCCTGACCAGTTACTCGTGCCGATGTAAGCGGCAATATCGGTCACCATATACTTGTTATGATTCACACGACCAAAAGGTATTTTATCCAATTCCGCATTGGTCGGAACAACGAATCTTTTCTGTAAAAACGACAGCGCAACAATCAATTACCCATTGTTATAACTTCACCAACATTCGAAGTACAAAACTCACTACTTCGATGTTAACTTTGTTGTAACTATTGGTAAGATCCTCGAGTGCTTTGAGGAAGTAGTCCTCGGACTTCCTCGAGTGTTTCCACTTCGATATAAGTAGTTTCACCTGCACTTTGCGTTCAATCGCCGCGGCCTTGAGAGCGTCGTCTATCACCGGCCAATATTTCACTTTAGGCGTGTAAATAGTCAGTGGGAAGTAATCCATAACCGAGACGTAGATGAACTTCTCGGCTTTGTTGATGCAGTGCAATAAGGCGTCTATGTCGTGAGTTCGGCCGTCCGGCGAGAAAGGCGGTGGTGAGCTCTGCGAGTGACAGTTTGTTATGTTGACTTGTTAATGGGATGCACTATGACTCATCCTATTTTTCGAATGTCTCTACATTACCATTGCTAAGCGAACGTCAAAAATAAATCTTGCTACTTTACGGCAGCACTATCTTTTTGTTTCTTTGAAGATAATTAAATTGTAAAGTATTCTTGCCGAGAGGGCGCGTCATTAACAAAATTTAAATGCAATGATTCGCAAAAAAGTCAACGAACATAGAGATTTGTAACTCGCGCCTGAGAAATTTATTGAAAATATTCAGTCTGGATGGAGTGGTTCGTGAAAGCTCAGTAATGATTAATAACTTACGCCAAAGAAACTCTTGTATTTGTTGCCGTCCAAAGTAAACACCATAGGATTCTCGGCATTGATCTTCGTTGACAACGACTTAGGCCACGACTTCGGTACCTTGCCAATCTCTCCAAGCGTCCAATAAACCTTCAAATCATTAGAATTTTATTTCCCCACCGAATATTTGAAATTACAAAACTTCCATTCGTCTCACATCGAAAATTTTAGCAAGATCGTTCGCCATGCAGGAGCAGTTGAAGGCGACGATTCCAAGCTCCTTGACCTGAGTAAGCGATCTCCAATCCATGTTGGCCGAGCCAACATAGACGTGAGTGCGGTCGATTAACCAGAGTTTCGTGTGTAGTACACCGCCACCGAGGAGAGCCGCAAAGTTCAGACTGCGGACCTGAAAAATATTTTTTTTGTTTAGAAGCTAATATTCAAACGTGAAGATTTATGACTTTTCATAGGTCAGTGAAGTATTAGTCGTTCAATTATGAATATTTGCGCGGGAGATCGAATGGCAAGAGTGTTAGTTTAGAATATTCTATGACGAATCGTAAACCATTACATATACGTTACATTCAATTAACATTCGATAAATCGTGACGATACGACTTATGTCAGAACAATAACATTAAAATGATGCAGCATTACATTAAATATTTGATTTGCCACAAGCAAGCAAACGAAAATGGTATTCACCTGTGCATTCGCTTTTTTCGCCAAATATTCCGTATCGATATTCGGGCTAAGATGACTGGGTGCATTCTGTGCAATTTTTAACGTGATAGCCTTGTCACGCCCGGCATTGACCAAAGCTTGAAAAACTGCTTCACCTTCCTTGGCACTATCGTCAGGATAAACATCCTCGCGGTTCATCGTCCAATAAAGAGAAGCGATTTCAATGCTATTTTGCGCCGAACTGATCAGATCTAACCAGGTTGTATAAGTACTTCGATGAATAACTGAATCGTTGGGATACGTCAAATTGATGGGTATCGACTCGACGAGTGACATGTTGCATTCACTCATACACGCGGCAAACTCGCTGTCGTTCATCAAGTAAGTGGTGTTTAAGTTTTGCCTTTCTTCTTTTTGATCGAGCAACGGCAACAGAACTACTAAGAAGATCAACACCAGGATGATGGTTATCGGTATGCAACTTGGACGGCACCAGTCTTGTGCACTGCCCCATCTGAGTAATAATAATAAAAATAGTATTTATTAACTACACAAGTTACGCGTGAAGAAGAAGGAAAATTGTCGATTTTACCGCCCGTGATTGAAAGGATCGTCGATGTCATTCCTCAACATGAAACCCGTTTGATCCCAAAAATCAAATTCGTCATCACAGGCTGGTGAGTTAACATCTAGGCGTGCATTCTCCGACACAGTCTGCGGACATGAAGAAAATTCTAATTTATCTTTTTAGTAATCGCTATATATGTACGTACACAAAGAATTTTCATTTGAGAATTGGATAGCTTTGAAGTTAATTTTAAAAATAGGTTACTAGAGACATCTATGAGAGACAACTGCGAATAAACTGCGCGTAACGGGACTTTCACGTCAGGGCCGTAAGTGAAAGTTAAAAAGCCCAACTATGAATGTCCAAATTTGTTCAAATTCTTAAATATATTATACATCATACTTATTATTTTACTAATATTATAATTTGTAACAATGATAAACTGACATTGGTACTCTAAATAATTTTATATTATTTAGGCTTATAAACTACGCTTGTTTCAGTTGTTACAATTCAAAATCTCATCATCAAGTATCAAAGGTTGCAAGAGCGACTTGCGGTATGTATTATATATTATATAATAATTCATTGTAATATAATCGCTTGCGCTCTCGGACTCCGAGCATTCAAAATAGACTTCAATCGAGATTTGTAAAAGTCGATAAGAAATTTATTTAAAAAATACCAATGCGTTCAGATTGCAGTTTTCACGCCAAAAATCTATCTATATAAAACCTAATCCAGACTTCCCTCACCAAAACAGTCCGTGTTCATATAAGTTCCTCAAAGGTCTTCAGCCGACACTGTCGCAGCTCGACCGGTTTGTTAGAAATCTATATTTCACATTATGCAGCGTCTTAACTAACGTAAACAATGCAAATTTTTCAGAGCAAATGTCAGCAGCGATCGCGCAATCGTTAAAACGATTCTTATCAATCGCTTAACTTTTTTAACTAAGCCGATGAAAACAAAGAAACATCAATGATTTCACGAAGCATTCGAGATAATAAAACGCTAAACAATTTTGCAGCACGAAATTCCTTTATTGCAGCAATATTGCAAATCTTACTTGTAGTTTCTTAATAAAAAAAAAAAAAAAATAATTTAAAACGTATAAAACGAAGAAACTGTCAAACGGAAAAATGAAAAACCCAATTTCAAACAATAAATACAACGCACCTTTTTCTGGTTCTGCTTAGCTTTCATCAAGATCGTCATTTTCGCACGATAAAACAACGAAAAATCAAAAAATCAAACTAAAGAATAAAATTAAAAATCACAGCGACATATCCCCGCAGTCAACTGGTTGTTACACTGTCTTCTGTATACCTGGCCTCTTTGCGCTCTCTTCAGGGAGATGAACAAAGTTATTGTTCGGGGGAGAGAGAGAGAGAGAGAGGAGAGAGAGAGCGTAAAGCCTGCAACTCTATGGCTGATGTGCACGTGCTACTCGACAAGCTGCGCGCGCAACTCTAAACCTAGAAAGTAGGGGACCTCTTTTTCTTTGTTACCCCCTCAACGACGGCTGACTCCAAAGAGTCCAAAGTCCAAGGTGACTGTGTGTTTCTTATTATTTTTTTTGGCAGCTGTGCTGTTGGTTACGTAGCGATAAAATTTTGGACCGATGATATCCATTTTTGTGTGGTTCTCATTTTGGTAAGATGGCATTTCCTGAGAATTGGATTTTGGAGTATTATCATTATAATTTACTTTTGAACGTTAATGAAACTATTGAGATTATAATTAATATTGAATGTATAAAAGGATAGACTAATAAGTATCTTAGGGATATAATAATTATTTTATTATAATCTCGAACGGTCTAAACTATATTTTTAACAAAACTAAATATGTAATATTTATTTTTTACAAATTAATAAGATTATTAACAGAAAAAAATTTTTACAAACATACTATGCTGATTTTTGTGGAATTATGGTATGAGGAGGTGCTGGAATAAGTATTTTATATTCACTTCAAAGATTACAAAACAAAATTTCAAAAAATGATTAGTAAAAAGAATTTTATAAAAACAAATTATTCACTGTGACTGGATCAAAATTATGCACTACCTTACGTTATTATGTTATTGTTAAGATGAATTAAGCTTAAAATATAATAATTCAAATAGTAAAATGAATATCAACAGTATTTCGATTTCTAAAATTAACAGTAATTATATCGTTACTAGTAAAATGTTTAATAGATTACCCAAAGAATGAAAAGTTTTATGTGATAATATAAAATTATTAAACTAAAATTTAAAAAATAGATACTCAGGAGTATATTAATGTTTCGTAGATTAAGTTTATTGTATCTAAGTTTTTATATATATATTGTTATACAAATATAAAAACCTACAAACAAGAGTAAATTCCTCTTCTGTAGTTTGGTGGTTAACACCAATTGACCATTAGAATATTGTGAAATAAAGGTAGGTATAGACATAAAGCATATACAAAGAAAAGAAAATTAGGAGCCAACTGATCAACGAAACCTGCCGAATCAACGAAAGGATCGGGCTCGTTTCGTACATATTCTGATTCTACACCAATTTTAAATTTTTTTATTTAACATACTGCTTTATTATTAAATAGAAAAAATAAGATAATATTTTCCTAAAAAATGAAATATCTGATATGATATTTTTCTACAGAACGATTAAGAAAAATTTAATTGGTGTAAAAAAATTCTACACAGCGTTATTGTACATTTCATAATTTTTTAATAACGAACAGAATCTTATACGCATAGTTCTTTTAAATGTTTATTTATTCATAGAAAAATATTTTATGTAGAATACTTTGAACCAGTCATTTTCCAATCGAATTTTCCGTAGATAGCTTTCGTGTTTAATAGTATCTTCTCTTCCAATGAATACGATTTTATGTGTTTTATTCAATTAAAAAAGCATTATGTTAAATAAATAAAATTTGAAAAATCCTGTAGAATTAAATCGTGCAGAATGAATATCTATACGAAACGAAGCAGGCCGATGAAAGTATATATATAATTGATAAGAAATGTGCGTTTTGGCATTGATTGCTGATATAATTATGAAGCACACCGCCAATAAAACGACCTTATTCATATTCTATGCTTACCAAATAGCATTCATCATTGAAAATTGCATTCATCTTGCTATTGTTCTTTTCCGCTTCGTTTCTTTGTGCGAAATTGTTTGGAAACAAAGTAACTATCTCGCGTGTCCGGCATTCCTTCAACGGTTCATTGACTCAATAACACACAATGGATAACAGTAACATTATACATTCTAGCGTAATCTTTTGTCGAGATAAGAGAAAAAGGCAGTGTGCGTTATTCGAACGCTTTGAGGTGCGATGTATATTTAATGCTATTTTCTAGCTGATTGCGGGGAGTTCGAGGGGATAGGTAGGATTTGGCCGTTGGCGCCCAAGCTATCGATCGTCCCACCACCCCCATGGCAAATTCTGTGGCTGCTGCTGCTACTGCCTGCCTCTCGAGAATTTTCGAGGCGACCTTTAGTGCTTATGGAGAATGCCCTTTAACTCGTTTTGTACGCCACCGCTCTGACGAGCAGATGACACTTTTTATGACTGACTTAATTTTTTTTTTAATTTGCATATACGTATTAGTGATAGGGAATCGTCAATTCGTTAACTATAATGTGCGTCAATGCTGATGAATTATTTATTCTGAATGTCTGATGAATCGGCTTAATTAACGATCAATTAAACTGGCGCTGGTTAAACTGTCTAGACGAAAGATTTTGTTTATTACATGAATTAGGTAATAAGTATTGTATTAATCGTTCTGGTTGAAAATGATATTTCGATGTGGTTAATTGGTTGGCGAGACGAAGGATTTGAGTCGAGATGTTTGTTGTTCCATGTTTCTTAAGGTCAATCAATCGATCGAAAATTTTTCGGAACGGTTAATCGATCGAAATTGGCTTTTGTTTCATAGGAATTTTCGACTATCGATAGAAAAAAACAAAATGATTTCAACACGAGAAAAAGTTTCCAATTGACATCCCACAGTGCAATCAACGAAATTCAAAGCTTTCCTCAAAACTGTCACCGCGAAAACCCTTTACTATCGGTAAAAAAATATAAAACAAACTCGTCGCTCTAACAAATGGATTAAAATAAAAGCTAAACTCTCGCCGCACGTCCCCCTGCTGCCGTCATTAAAATCGATAACGTCATCGACGGTCGCAACTAGCGAAACCGACCAGAGCCGGTAATTTGTTGTATTTTCGCGACGGCGGCGTCGCCCGTCGCAGCAGAGCACGCGCGATGCATTTTTAATGCGCCAGCGAGGCGCCCGCGCACCGCCATAGACGGGTTTCCGCAATTATCCTGATTAAACGGATTAAGCCTCCCTAGCCTCTCTCTGCGCGTTTTCTTTCATGCAAGTGCACTTTGTAGGGGTACTTTGACTCGCAGGCTGTTTTGCTGTTGTCGGCTTAGGGTTGCATTGTAAAGTGGACGCTCCACTGTTACCTACATATTTTCTTTAGTTTTCAGGCATTATAAAAAAAGTCTTAGTTCAGCAATAGGAATGTACGTCGTAGAAAACACGCGACAAACGAAAAATGTTTTATATTGCAAATCAATCAACTTCTCTTCAGCGTTAGTTCCTTCGGCATAGCGTATTTGTTTTTACGAGCGACTCGCGATCATTGACAAAATTACAAGAGTTATTCCGAAAGAAATATTCTTTTCTTTTTGCTGCTCCGTCAGAAGGAAGGTCAAATGAATCGTGGCCTGTGTTTACTTTCCTCGCAGAGACAATCTTCGCGAGCCAGCTGAGTAAACTAACAAGTGTAAGCGCCGTTCGGCTGAAAAATGTAAAACACATTTTCCCGCTAAAGTAAAAAAATAATTCCAACCACCAAGTCCATTATCGTCGCCGAGAAAAGTACCGAGAGATCAGCTCAATTAACCATCAGGAGATAGAGGGTCGACGCAAAAACGCAAACTGCATCGCGCGTGGGACTCTCTCCAAAGAGCTAATTAATCATTTCTCAGTGCTCGAAAGAACGCGACTCGCTCTTTCCTTCGTTTTTGCTCCTTTAAAAGCTTTCGCGTGTCTGACCGTGGCTGGAGCCGCGGGGGGGGGGGGAAAAACCCGCGTACGTAAAGGTCAAGGGATGTTTGAC